TAAGTGAGGGGGAAACTAAAATTTATATAAAATTTGGACAATTCAGATTTAACTTGGGTCGAGCTTGATTATACAATCTCGGATTACAATTCGAACCTAAACAACTCTTAGCACAATTTAGGTTGAGCTTAAACAACCTATCAATCCGTTCAAACCCGCAAGAGTTGCACCCTAGTTTGCCTACATGACACAGCAACAATCCTTTAATAATCCATTTTGTTTCTGGCCTGAGCCTAAAGGAATCCATTTTAACATTTCCAATTTAGTTCACCTTTCTTTTGTTTTAGATTTCAAACAAAAATGACCGACTAACAAAAGCAATTCAGCTCGTTTGTGCAAAACAAAAACAGACAGCGAAAACTGAACACCAAACCATTTATTTGTCCGATAGCAGTTAATTAAACAACACAGATTTTATTGTCAATGGAAAGTTGGCAAAACCCACAACACATGAGTTCAATATACCCATTTTCCATCAAACAAAATTTACAAAGATACAAACAAAAAAAAAATCATTCTGAATCAACATAATCAACAGATCTCATTCACTTACAGGAATGCATCAAGTGACAATCGCAAGCAGTTGTGGCTTATACTTTAAACTGTTTCCTAATTGCAGGTTCGAGCTCAGAGTGGTTTCACCGGTCATATCAGGAAATCAAGGAGAAAAATTCCTCCAATTGGGTCTCTCACCGTAACGCCAAGTTTCTGACTATGGACTGCATCGATCAAATCAACTCCTATATCTTTCGCCAAGCCTGTTGTAGAGATCTCAATGTACTCATTCAGGCTGTGAACAGTTCCATCTACACAAGTAAAAACAGAGGAATTAGCAGGAAGGGGGAAAAAAGACATAATCAATGATCAAAAGCATGACTTGCCAAGTATATATATATATTTAAACACCTTACTTTCGAAAATTTATTCACGAAATACAATTCAAAATTTCAAACTACAATCTCTTTCACAAAGTAATATTGCATCAGTATTCACAGAAGTTTACTTGGAAAGTGAGTTCAATATTAATAGGCACAAATTTGAAATCTAACTGATTCATTCATTTACCTTCAGCAACTATTGCTTCATATGCAGGTGGCTGCGCAATCCAGTTTCCTACAGAATCTTTCATGTGTCTTCTATCAGATGCAAAGGAACGAAGGGATATTGGAGCATGCACAACCTGGAAAAACCTGAGAACACAGAGTGGTTTTTCCCATGAACTCTTATATTTTCACAGTTGGGTTTTAAAGATATCTAGCAATGCACAAGGTGATGAATCAATTTTCATCAAGTGATAAAAAAAAAAACAGGAAAAGAAAGACAGAAAGCTTCCTTGAATAATTAACCATGACAAGGCATATCAATGAAAGGATAATATGAAGTCAGAAAATTTGTATGGCAACCTAAGAAAGACTAGATATTACCTCTGAAACTCAGAAAATAGCTGAAACGATGGTCATATAGTTTCCGAGACATAGGAGCACTACAAGAAAAGTGAGGTTATGAGACGGAATTATTTGCGACGGCACACTTGCCGTCTCAAAAAGTAACTTTTTGCGACGGCAGAAAATGCCGTCTCAAAAAAACAGAATATTTGCGACGGCACCATTTGCTGTCTAAAAAAAGCAGAGTATTTGCGACGGCACTATTTGCCGTCCCAAAAAATGAGAGCATTTGCGACGTATTTTCTGCCGTCGCAAATGCTCTCATTTTTTGAGACGGCAAATGGTGCCGTCGCAAATACTCTGCTTTTTTGAGATGGCATTTTCTGCCGTCGCAAAAAGTGACTTTCGTTTTTTTTTTTTTGTGAATATTTTTAAAATTTTAAATATTTTTTTTAGATGCACCTTACTTAGATGTATCTAAAAAAAAATTATGAAAAAATATTTTTTAAAATTAATAAATACATAAAAATATAAAAAAAAATGTATTGAATTATTGTATTTTTGGTATTTAGTGAATTTTTAAAAGATTTTTTTTACAATTTTTTTAATTTTTAGGTGTATTTATGTTAGGTGTGTCTAAAAATTAAAAAAAAATACTTAAAATATTAAAAAAATTCAGTAAAAACAATATAACACGGAAAATAAGAAAGTATAATTTTCTCAAAAGAGTTTTTGGAAAACTCTAATCTAGCATAGTGATTGTGGTTTTGAGACAGCTTCATATATATATAGTCACAAAATGGTTTGAATAAATTCAACGGTATTTTTTTGTCGCAAAAAAAAATTAAAAAAAACAATGTCGTCTTACTCTTTTGATATAACATTTCTCTTTTCATTCATTTTTTCATCTTCCTGTCTCTCTGTCTCTATCTCTCTCTCTTTTCTCTTTATCTCTTTCACTCATCACTCTTCTTTCTCTGTCTGTCTGTTTCTTCCTGTGTCTCTCGCCTATCTCTCTTCTCTCTATCTCTCTCATCTGTTTTCTCTCTCTGTCTCTCTTGCTCATCCCTTCTCTCTATCTCTCTCATTTCTTCTCTCTCTCTCTCTCTTATCTTTCTATCTCTCTCTATCTCTCCCGTCCATTTCTCTTCTCTCTCTGTCTCCCTCTTTTTCTGTGTCTCTCTCTCGCTCATCTCTTTTCGCTCTATTTCTCTTTTTTTTTTTGTTTATCTCTCGCTCATGTCTTGTTTCTCTCTCTTTTTCTATCTCTCCTTCTATCTCTCTCTCTTTCTCTCTCTATCTCTTTTTCTGTCTATCTCTCTCTCCCTATCTCTCTCTCTCTCTGTCTACTTGTCTATTTGTCTATTTCTCCCTCACTATGTTCGCCTTGCTCACTCTCTTACTCCCATCTTCTCTATTTATCGAGCTCATTCTCGATTTATCGATCCACTATAAACGACGTCGTCTTACTCTTTTGAACATTTCTTTTTTCACCAATTTTTTCATCTTCCTATCTCTCTGTCTCTTTCTTACTCATCACTCTTTTCTGTCTGTCTGTCTGTCTGTCTCTTTCTCTATGTATCTCATTCACCATTACCACCACCACCATCATCATCTCTTATCCACCACCTTCACCACTATTGTCGCTTCCTCTCCTCTACCACAAAATATTACCTCTCCTCTCTCTTTCACTCATCACTCTTCTCTGTCTGTCAGTTTTTGTCTCTGTCTCTTTCTCTCTTTGTCTCTCGCTCATCTCTCTTCTCTTTATCTCTCTCATCTCTCTATCTCTCTTCTCTCTCGCTCATTTATCTTCTCTCTGTCTCTCTCGCTCATCTTTCTTCTCTCTTCGTCTCTCTTTTTCTATGTCTTTCTCTCGATCATTTCTTTTCGCTCTCTTTCTCTCTCTCTTTGTCTATCTCTTGCTCATCTCTTGTTTCTCTCTATTTTTCTATATGTCTCTCTCTCTATATCTCTCTCTCTTTGTCTCTCTCTTACTTATCACTCTTCTCTCTCTCTTTCTCTCTCTGTGTCTGTTTGTCTGTCTCTCACTCTTCTCTTTCTCTCTATGTATTTGTCTGTCTGTTTGTCTCTCTCCCCCATTGTGTTCTCCTTGCTCACTCTCTCCATCATTTATCATCTATTTACCGAGCTCTCCACTACAAGAAAATGCACTTTTAACAACCACTTTGTCTCTCTCTTGCTCATCACTTTGTCTCTGTCTGTCTGTCTATCTCTCTCTTTCTCTCTATCTCTCTTCTCTATCCGTCTCTCACTCATCTCTCTCTCACCACCCATCTTCTCTACCACATTCACTACTACTATAAATGCAATTCCACTACTATCACTGTTGTCACTCAACCTTTACAACTATCATTACTACCACTATCGCTACCACTCCACTACCACCACTACTACTACCATTATCTCTCATCCACAATTGTTATTCTATCTCCTCTACAACTACCACAACTTCACCACTTATCTCCTTCACCATCACTACCACCACTACTTTCACCACTACTGCCACTTCCCATCCTCTACCACAAAAAATTAGTTCTTGATTTTTAGTAACAACAAAAAAAAAAAAATGGGTCGCAAATTTTTTTTTTTCCATTGACCACAAAAAATTAACTTTATTTTAATAGAAAATATTGGGGGTGTTTGGTGGGACTTTTTTGAGCCAGCTTCTGGCTTCTGGCTTTTAAAAAGTTATTTTGGACTGTTTGGTTAAACTTATTTCAAACAGCCTCTGATTCTAACAATTTATTTTAAGTCAAAAAAGTTGATTCTGAGAAGCTGCTCACCCCTTGCTTTTGATTATCAGCTTCTACTGTAGACATGTTAATTCACGGTTATACTCTTAGATTTTTTTATTTTTTATTTTTTTAAAAATAGAAAAAGATCCAAATGGACTATAAAATATTATTATTTTTTTTTTAATGAAAAATGTAAACAAATAGTGAATAATAAAAAATAAAAATTAATTGAAAAAGTTACTTCACAGCTTATTTAACAAACACTACTCAGCAACTTAAATTTATAATCCAACAGCTATACCAAACAGATTGACAGCTTCTGATTAAAGTTATAATCTATAATCTGTTAAGCTATAATTTATAATCTGTTTTAGCAGCTACACCAAACAGCACCATTATCCCTACTTCTACCAAATAAAAATAATAATAATAATTTTTTATTCATTAAAATAATATATGAAACAAATAAATTTTCAACCTTATTAAATGAAAAAAAAAATACATTAACTATAAAAAAAAAATAATTTTAATAAAAAATAATTTTTTTTGGCAACGGCATCCTCCATTGCAAAAAAAAAAAAGTCATTTTATTATTTAAATATTCATTTGTAATGAAAATCAAAAAAAAAATTCATTTGTAATCTCTTCCAATATTCATTTGTAATGAAAATAAAAAAAAATTCATTTGTAATCTCTCTTCCCCCCCCCTTTCCATTCCCGCTCGGGTTTCCCCCCACCCCAAACCCAAAATCCCCAATCTCTTGAACCAAAATCCCCAATCTCAAAATCCCTAATCTCTTCTTACGTCTCTCTCTCTCTCTCTCTCTCTCTCTTTCTCTCTCTACCGACGTCGAGGTCGAGAAGAGAGAGTGGTGACGACCCTCCTCTGCCAAAGACGACGACCAAACCCCCACTTCTTTCTCTTTCGATGGCCTTGCTTGTAGGGTTGTAGGGTTCCACCATGGAAGGAGGTAGATCGAAAACGGAGACCAAAAGGACCGATAGCAAGTAAGCTTTGTTTGCCTTGTTGTTTTTGGAGTTTTTAGATCTGAGATCTATTATGCGTGTGATTCAGAGTGTGTTTTTTTGGTATTGAAGATCGATTTTTTTGTTGTTAGGCTTTCGGTGAAGAGAGGTGCTCCGAGCGAGAGTGTTTTTGTAGCCGCCGTGAGTGTTTTCACCTCATTTGTTTTATAGATTTCTGATTTGTGGATTTTGTTCAAGTTTGATTTCGGGTTGGCTCTGGTTGCCCTCCTCTGTCTCTGAACTGGATCGAAACTAATTCAGGCTGGTGAATTTCTTTCTAAGCTTGACCCAAAGACTTGAAAATTTTGTCCAGTCCCAATTTTTTTTTAGGCTATGCTCAACCTACCCAAGTTGCAATCATATTTAGCACAAAATGTATGCAAAAGATGTGTGGATCCAAGTTAGGGATGTTATGTTTTTAAACCACTAATGAAGAAAGAGGATAGTTAGAAGGAGAGAGAGAAGGGAAAAAAGTAGAGAACAAAAAAGAAAAAGGGGGAAGGCATGGAGGAAATTTGGTCAAAAGCCACTTCTTCTCCACCACACACACACACATACACACAAAAAAAAAAAAAAGAAGCTTTGTAATTGTTGGAGCATAACATAATGTGGTAAATACCTCCCCTGTTACCTTGAGAATGACAATTGCACCTGTACTCTTAATGCAATGTATGTAAGAATGTCATTCTATAATTTTTCTTTTTGAATAGATAGAATACTATTCTATAAATAATTATGATAAATAGCTCGGGTTATGTTATATTCTGTACTCTCTAGTCCATGAAGCATTGGTAGCTAAATGTTTAAATATAATTTCTTGAAAACACATCCAGTTTATATTGAGTTATTAGTATTCTTATCTAGTGCATGTTTCCCTTCATTTAATTGTTTTGCAATAATATAGAGGTATGTTGAAGATGACAAGAATGCTTTTTATTTCCGTATCTCACGAAGAATGGAATTTATGACTTTTGGAATTGGTTTGATGATCGGACCTGGTAATTGTGACCCTAGTGGTGGTTTTCATATAGCAAAACTCTTGTTTATTTCTCTACTATAGGTTGTTATGTAATGAATGCAAAGTGACATTGTATATTTGATCTGTTCTAAGGTATCCTCTTGGACGTGTGATTGGTGGAACTGTTTACCCTGGATTGACATTGACAGCTGGCACCATGTGGTGGTGTGTATTTGAGATTGAGACTAGAGATTAAGAACATTAATTTTCTATGTGTTCCTTGTTACCAGATTAGTGAACTCTGTACATCTGGTTTTCCTTTATTATAAAACAATCAGAAGGGTGAATTTGAATGAGTCCTGCTGCATTAGTTATTGCTGAGACTTTACTTTCTGATGGCAGGATACTGAATTCTTTGAATATTCCTCTGTCTGTGGAAACTGTTTGTGTATTTACGGCTCCAGTATTCTCTGCTATTGCTGCATGGGCAACCTACCTTCTCACAAAGTTTCATGTTCTATTTTTATTTTTGTTTTGGAACATGTATTTCTGGAACCTAGGACTCGTTATGTATTATGTTTAATGTGAGTTTTCTGCAAACTGAGATTTCTCAATCTTGTCCAATACCCCAACACGCAGGAAGTTAAGGGTGCCGGTGCTGGACTGACTGCAGCAGTTCTTTTAGCCATGGTAAATTATATACAGGGTAGTTGAACCTTTATTTTCTATTCATTTTATGAAATTTTGAAACTTTGAGCAGCATTCTAACATGTAAAATGCAACTTCTGTTATATCGAATCACGTGGTTATGTTTCATTAGTTCAAACTTTGATTTGATAAAAAACAACTTATCGTTATTTCACCAGGACTTTCTTTCTTTTTCCTTTCTTAACTTTTTTTATTATTACTTACTAAAATAGATATTTTTTGTCACACTTCTTTCCTAATATATAGAATTTGGAAAATATTTTCTTATTATTTTGATATAATAAATTATAGATGAATTGGTAACATAATAAATGAAGAAATTGTTAATTTTTCCATGCATCTGCTATTGTTGTATGGGCAACCTACCTTCTCACAAAGGTTCATGTTCTATTTTTATTTTTGTTTTGGAACATGTATTTCTAGAACCTAGGACTCGTTATGTATTATGTTTAATGTGAGTTTTCTGCAAACTGAGATTTCTCAATCTTGTCCAATACCCCAACACGCAGGAAGTTAAGGGTGCCGGTGCTGGACTGACTGCAGCAGTTCTTTTAGCCATGGTAAATTATATACAGGGTAGTTGTTCCTTTATTTTCTATTCATTTTATGAAATTTTGAAACTTTGAGCAGCATTCTAACATGTAAAATGCAACTTCTGTTATATCGAATCACGTGGTTATGTTTCATTAGTTCAGACTTTGATTTGATAAAAAACAATTTATCATTATTTCACCAGGACTGTCTTTCTTTTTCCTTTCTTAACTTTTTTTATTATTGCTTTCTAAAATAGATATTTTTTGTCACACTTCTTTCCTAATATATAGAATGTGGCGTGGTTCCCATTAGTCACTGAATTCCAGACCAGGTTGCTATTCAACCAAGCTTTCAGCCGAGGGCTTCAGATTCAACGCATTCTCGCTGGTGGGAAGAAACAGAAGCAGAAGTAATTAAGTACAAGTAAAATACTTTCTGCACACAATTTGATTTGTGGAGAGAGAGAGAGAGAGAGAGAGAGAGAGAGATGCATGATTGCAGTGTCAAGTTTACTCAATTGTATATTTATCTCCTCCACTTTCTTCTTCTTCATATCAGCTATACTGGAAATGAATTTTAATTCTCTTTGGTCTGTGTTGTCATCTCTCTCCTCTCTTCTCTCTCTCTCTCTCTCACACACAACATGCTTGAATTGGGCTTTTTCATTCATTACCCATGTATAGTGAATATATAATAGTGTAACCTATTTTATCTAAAACGTGTATCGTTCCAGTTAGAACCTGTAACAAAATCATGTATTTAAGCATTATATATGTATTATGAAACATTATGTAGTGGGATAATTTTGTTGATGTGTAATTATATGAATGGAAAAATATTTTATTATGAAGAAATTGTAATTTGTATATTATTATGGAGAAATTTTAATATTTTAATCTTAGGATGGTTTTTTCTTTTCTGCGACGGCATTACACCGTTGCAAAAAATAGAAAACTTTAATATTTTTATTAATTTTGTTACAGGTTTTACTTTTTGCGACGGCATTATACTGTCGCAAAAAAAAGAAATTTTATTATTTAAAATAGAAATTTTATTATTTAAAATAGAAATTTTATTATTTAAAATAGAAATTTTATTATTTTTTAATACTTTTTGCGACGGCATTACGCTGTCGCAAAAAATAGAAAATTTTATTTTTTTAATACTTTTTGTGACGGCACCACACCGTCGCAACAAATAGTGTTTTTGCCGTTGCAAAAAAGACTATTAGCGACGGTATTTTTTTCCGTCTCAAATAACATTTTTAGTGACGGTAAAATAGTGCCGTCGCAAAAAAGTCAAGAAATTTCAAATGTTATTAGCGACTGCACAGTACCGTCGCAAAAAGGCAAAAATGCCGTCGCAAAACATTGTGCCATCGCAAAAACTCTTTTGCAACCCCTGCATTTGCGACCCCCTCTTGCCGTCGCAAAAAGTATTAGCGACGGCATTAGGAGTATTAGTGACGGTATTTTACCATCGCAAAAAGTCAATTTTTTTTGCAGTGGAGGCCAAAGGAGATGGGAATGGAAGACTTGAATCTAAATCCCACACTAGAGGAGAAGAGTCACCTTTTTTTCTCTGTTACAGTCATTGCAATATGAGAATTTTGTAAACAAAAATGTTGTTTCTAATAACCATTAATGCAAAAAATAAGTATGCTGGTTCACAAGACTCTTCCAACCAACACAACAGTCACCTGAATGCAGATGGCGTGATAATCCCACAGAATAACTCCATCAGCTCTCTGGCTGGCCTTCTGATGCCACAGTGGAACCTGCAAGGTGGTCATCAGTTCAGCACACCCTTGTCTACAACAAATTTAATCTATCCAATAGTGCATTTATGACTGAATGCCTTTTCTTTTGTTTACTAAAGCAAAACCACGTGAAATTGTCAAAATTCAATTAGAGCTAAAGTGGAGTCCTGATGGCTCTTTACATATACCGTGGGGGGGCTTAGACGCTTAGACAGTCTTTCTTGAGTATGATATCATTACCTTCCTACTGGTTCCAAAGAGAAAATGAAAAAATAAAATTGGAATTCAATTCCGATGTCTTCAGAAGACAACAATGCGAAATAGGATCTGGTTTTAAGCTAAGTATTGCTCCAGCTACAAAAATCTGGTACTAAAAGAAGTTTATGACAAGTTCCACCAAATGGAAACAGGAAAAAAGTGTTGACACTCAAAATGGGTGATTACGAAAAGTAAATCAAGCAATTTGTTACATTTATTTATGCATCAACAAGTGATGATACCACATCAATTGCACATGTTTAACAACATATGATGCTGCATCTATTGAATGGATACTCAAGTATAATAAGATTTGGAACCCTTAAGCGAAGGGTATGGGTCCCATGATCATCATCAAGGACCTTTCATGGTGGTGGTTGGAGGAAAAAGTCTGAGCTGAAGATCTTTGTTCAGGAAGTGGAGGCACCAAAATGGCCTCCAAAACTGTTGAGTGTTGGTCATCATGGCTGTAAGGGTGGTTGGGAGGGGGAGATGCTAGTGCAATGGAGTTTTTGGGATGGCGTTTTAATGAAGCTAAGGAAGTCGAGGATTGGGTTTATCAGTTAGAAGTTTTATGTCTCATTTTTGCAACACCAAATAGAGCTTTGACAATTATAAATCCAGTTCAGGCGAATGATGAGAAATATATCACAGAACCTCCAGAATCTAGTGGAAGACAACAAACAAGCTAAGAAAAATGGGAGGTTACACACCTGCTTCTTCTCATTGGAGATGAAAACAACAAATAGATCAGATCCCTCTGCATCAGCTACCCCACTTGTGCAGAGCTTTTTGCAAGCAAGTATACATTCTCCTCACTACAAAAAATAATATAAAAAACAACCCAAAAAATCTTGATTGAGGAAATAAAAAAAAGAAACAGCTGAAGGGTAATGCATGTTAATCAAATGTAGACAAAGAAACTTCAGGATTATTTGCTTGACAGAGATCCAGCCTACCTTCTTGCATTGAATATTATTTTATTTTATTTTTCAAAAATTATTCATCAAACTTAATAAAAGAAAATAAATCAATATATTAAACAAAACTATTTTATTATCTTATAAAAATGAAGCATATCTGGTAGCAGTATAAAGAATGACTCCTTGTCTCTGATGTAGTGACTTATAACTCTCTCAAACACATCCATAACTTCTTCCAAGTCAGGTGCAGGGGGATTTTACCAAATGATAAGAATGTTTTTCCAATGGTATTTATGTTAAGATTATATATAGAACCATTGGAAACTTTATGTATCTCGAGACACTGTCAGTCCATATGCCCCCTCATTCTTATGAGATATAAAACATAGTTACAGAATTTCTCGACAGCCAAGGCTAGATAAGAAATATTATTGGATTCTGCAGGACTTCGTTTAATGTATCATATTATCCACAACTTCAACTCAAGAATTACATAGAACTAAAAGTCTAAAACAGTTAAAATCAGACACAAAGCATTTTATTGCTTACGTACCACAATATCAGTGCATGCATACATATTAGTCCCTTATATTGAGTACACCGCTCCCTATGACAGCTCAAAAAACAGGTTGGGGCATAATGTCAAATGTTATAAAAGAATTAAGTGAAGCATTCTCTAACAAGTGGTATCAAATTCAGGTTATCATGGGATTCGAGTCCCGAGAGAGGGAGGGAATGTTGTGTATGCAATGTTGCTCACTGCAACTGCTCTAAAAACCGGCATGCTAACGTGATATCGAATACCATATAAGATATTATTGAAATCTTCCCTAACACCATTTAGTTTTAGGCAAACTCTTCCCTAACACCAATTGGGTTTAGGCAAGAAGATGAAACTCGGTCGGACAAGACCCCAATTCACAGATTAACAAGCATTTGTTTGTGAATAATTCTACACGTACTAACAATCTTACTAAAAATATAAATAGTCAAATGTGATTGATTGTTAAAAAAATAATAATATTTAAACCTCCAAATGTTTGGACCTGGATGCTTTTTAGTAAGATCTTAAGTGTCATAGCATTGCTCATTGTTTACTAATGTAAAAAAATGTATTAAAAAAAAATACAATTGATGAGAACCCATATTATATGTGAGATAAATTTTGGGCAGAACACAACTAACATATAATTAATTCCAAACAAAACCATTAATTGTAAATAAGCTTAATAACAAGTTGGGAAAAGAAAAAAAAAAAAAAAACCGAAAACGATCACTGAAAGAGGTATTTGAGCAAAAAGGGTATGTGCAAATCGCATTTAACTTAACCC